CAACATAATACAGCAATAAAATCAAAGCATATACAACAGACAACAACAACATTATCAAAATGACAATAATAATAATAATAATAATAATAATAATAATAATAATAATAATAATAATATAATTCCAATATGAATGCACTGCAGAACCTAGAGATTTTTAGGGAAACATTTTTTAATAAAATCTGTCCATAATCAAATGTGCAAAAGCCAAAACCACACATGTAGAGGGACGACTGTAGAACGTGTGGCCTTACCTCGTCATCCTTGACGCACTGCGTGGACAGCTGGTTGCAATGGACCCACAAGGAGTTCCTCAGGATGGTGATCCGGTCGCATTCTTGGAGTTGGAAGGCCTGCGATCAGGAAAGACGAGGAAAGGATGAGGTAGAAATGTTTTCCTCAAAAATACATCCTGCAAAAGACCAGACGTGCGCTGGAAGAGACAGAGCCGAGCTCTATGGTTCAAGGATGCTGTTCTCTATTGAGCTCGGTTCTGTCCCTATTAACTCCATGGTGGAACACCTTTATAACTGGGACTTCCACCCTTCAAAACTAGCACGAAGGCATCTCTCCACCTTGCAAGCAAGAGCGCCCACGCAGAGTATGCAGCAGAAGCAGCACAAAAGAGCTGGAGGTCTTTATCTATAGGGAATTGCAGAGCAATGCTTCTCAATGGCTAAATGGACATGTTCCAGTAGCATTATCTCCTAATGTTTTGCCTGCACCTGTGGCTGGTGTTCTCAGAGGTCTGTTGGAAGTGAGGCAAGTGGAGTGTGTATCTATCTGTGGAATAATGTCCAGGACGTGAGAAAGAACCCTTGTCAGTTTAAAGCAAGTGTGAATGTTGCAGTTAGCAAGCTTGAATAGCATTGAGTTGCCTTGAAGCCAAAGTCAATGAATTAGGATCAGATGGATAAATGCGGTTTCTCCCACCCTGGACATTACACACACACACACACTTGTGTGTGTGTGTGTGTGTGTGTATACACATACATACATACTTACATACACATACATATGTATATACATATATATGTATATACATACATACATACATACATACAGATATATGCACACACACACACACATGAATTAGGATCAGATGGATAAATGCTGTTTCTCCCACCCTGAACATTCCACACACACACATTCCACACACACACACACACACACAC